TTGACCTCATCAGAGTAGCACACAGAGGAGGGAGCCATGAACAAAATTCTGGGACAGGTTACAGGCCTCTGTCCTGTGTTTGTATTGATTACAAATATTACTGACTTGGTGGCAGTGCAGAGAACAGAAGGGGCCAAACGTTCTGCAGCCTGTAGGATCTGTCACTGAGCTGAGCTGTGCAGACACTGCTGTGGCACGGGGATTTTGGGGAGCTGCCAGTCCCTGCTGCTGGCCTGCACTCAGCTTATGGACACATCCCCTTGCCCCAAGCGTGGTATGGATTGAACCAACTCAATCACCAATGAAACTGATGCTGGCTGCTTTGATTTGGGTTTTGTTGGAATCTGTGGTATTGATGATTCCGAGATTGTAGGCAGTCTCTGTCTGTCAGCCCTGCCATGTTGTATCGTGGTCAGCTCCTCTCCCGCGATCCCCGAGCGGTGCCGTGCTGGCGGTGGGGGAAGAGAACGGACGGTCGTTCCCCTGGGAAGCTCTGCAGCCCCGGTTGTTGGTGCGGGGACAGACGGAGGCGACACGGGACTTGGGGTGTAAGAGAATGGTTTTATTCAGTGAGCCCCAAGACCCCCTTGGGAGGGGGAACAAAGGTTTTATACCAGAACTCAGGAGGAGGGGTGTAGGAAGAGCAACCAGTGAGGGTAAAGCTGGGGCGGGGTCCAAGGAGCCACTAACATATTCCAAACCTATCATGGCAAACAGGGGAGGGGAATAACACAAAGTAACCAAGAGGGTGTTGAGCCTCACTAAATGGACAGGGAATGCTCTGGAAGCAGGGGAGGAGGCTAAAAGGAATGACAGGGAATGTTCTGGGGAAAGGGGCAGGGAAAGGGAGGATTGACAACTGGGAGAGGAGGGGGTTAGGGAAGAGCTTGGGAAGATTGACAGCTGGGGAGGGGAGGAGACTGGGGGGGGTCGGGGTATGAACAGGCACTAAACAAATATCAAATTAAATAAAAACCACACCACCACACCGCTGCCAAAGCAGAAGCCATAATTCGTCTGTGCTGTTTCAAGGTTGTTTATTCTGTTTATCTCTAACATGTTCTGCTGCCCTGCCGCAGCTCTGTCCTGCAGGGCAGCGTGTGGGGCTCTGCCCTCAGTGGGATGGTACAAACATTAAATACCAGAAACTACCTGTGCTGGATTTACAATAACGTGCCAATATCTGTCACCTACGTTGGACAGTGTGTCCCCAGCCTGAACCAACAGAAAAATGCCAACACCACAGTGAAACATGGAGGGCATGAAGAAGGAGAAAAAGGACAAGACACACCCAATTTCCTCCATCTTGTCCTCTTTGAACCTCTTATCTAGAATCTTAAAATTTTACTTTTGCACCCGTGCCACACTTAATTATTATTGATATCAAACACTCAGAGCTGGTAATTCATCCTGTAAGACTGAAAACTCTTTTCCATGGACAGAGATCACAGACAGTGTCTCTGGGGGCTCTGTCCAGGGGGGTTCCTGACCCCTGCCAGGGTCCCAGACCTGCCAGGGCAGCCAGAGGGAAGCCCTGGACTCCCACAGGGTTTGACCAGGGAAAAGATGAAGGCTTGGTGTAAGCTCTCAGGAGGGGTTGGTTCAACATCCTTAACTGGAGGGATTTTTTCAGTTGCATGGCAAAACTTTCTGTGTATCTGAGGGCCGAGGGAATGTGCTAAGCATGAAGGTAAGGGAACTGCCTGTAGCTGAAAAACAGGTATTTTAGGTGATGTGCTTGGTGTGCAAGGCCTCCCTAAAGCTGCAGGGTCAAAGGCTGATAACTGATCTCTACACTCAAGAGTCCAAAACAACATTACTGGTAATTCTTTGTACAGCACAGCTGCTAGCAACGAGCTCTGACAGCTCTTGTTATCAACAGCCAGGTGAAAAATCATGCTGGCTTTTCATCAGCAGCCTTGCTTGCTTGGGAAAATGGCTTTTTTAAAGTTTTATACAATTTTTGCATCAGCTGAGGTTCCTTTTTTCAATGAGAAACTGCATTTTCTCATGCTGGCGTGTAACCTGTCCCAGAATTTTTTCATGGCTCTCTTCTCTGTGTGCTACTCTGATGAGGTCAAGATCTCTTGGCACAGTGACATATTTTATTCTACAAAATATTTCAATCTCAAATACAAAATATTATCACACCCATGTTGTTCAAGAGCGAAATCATGCTGGCTTTTCATTAGCAGCCTTGCTTGCCGGGGAAAATGGCAAAATGGATTTTTTTAAGTTTTACACAATTTTTGCATCACCTGAGGTTCCTTTTTTCAATGAGAAACTGCATTTTTTTCAGGATTAAAAACATTGTAATAATCACAGATTTTACATCAGCCTCTCACCACTGAGCACTGAAATATTAAGCAGCTTCAAAACTCATGGGGAGTGCTATTTTCTGGTTTTTACTTTGCCCCCTCACCTCATGGTCGAGCTCACATGGCTCTTCCCAGGTACCTTTCTGCAGCTGTTTAATCCCTGTGAATTTCTGTTACATTGGGAGTCTCCTCAATCTGTTTAACTTTCCCCTGGTCCTTCCCTGGCTGTATTTCCTGCATGTGAATGTTATTTTATCTGGCCTGTTCTCTGATTTTATCCAGCCTGATTAGAGATTTCTGAGCATTTACCAGAGGTGGGGGGGAGCCTGGACACAGAATTGTGTTAGGAATGGCACAGAATTGGAGGGCAGTGTCAGCTGTGTGAGCTGTCAGGCTTCTCCTACAGATTTCCACAGCCTCAGGGATGCTGTTGGTCTTGAATGTGATTTTCTGGGGGACCAACACCTCCTGCTTTCCCATGCCTGGCACTTCTGGGTGGCTGCAGCATCTTCTGCTCTGAGGTTCTCTCCTGAGTGCAGAGACCCAGACTAGTGACTTCTTATTCTGCACTGAGTATAGAACCCTGAGCACTGATGCTGCTAAAAATACTAACTGAGCAATGGAAACCAAGTGGAATTTAAGAAAAATCCCAAACCAAAAACACCACAAAAAATCCTCCACAAAAAAAAAAAAAAAAATTAAAAAATTAAGTGTGTATGGAGCACTAGTAGTAAAATTTTATGGTGAACTTCAAGAATCTGACATGGATAAACCCAGTTTAATTTGTGTCTAGCTGCTGTTTGTGTCAGCAAGCTATTTAGTGAAAAGATTAATTTAGAATTGTCTGTAGAAAACTCCTCTGCACAGCCTGTGTTGTTTTGGAGTGCTCTTTCAAGCCATGCACATGTTCAGATCAGCCTGGGATTTCTGAGCTGCCCCTCTGGATGTAGCCAGGGCTGGATGTGTTTGGAGTGTCAGAGTTACCCTTTGTGTGCCTGGGGCTTTTCCCTGGTGGGGGATGGCAGCAGCTCTCCAACCTTGCAGGAGGTTTCATCAGGGAGTTTATTCAAAAGCTAAATAACAGAGGAGAAGGGAAAGAAAGGCTCCTATCCCAGGGAGGGTGTCAGGGAATTCTGCAGAGAAGGGACTGCACCCCCGGAGCTGTTTGTGGCAGTGAGTGGAGCTGATGGATGCTGAGGAGATGATGGATGGTGTCATGGAAACTTTCACTCCCTGGCAATTTCTCATGTCCCAATAAAAACACCCACAGCTAATTTAAGCCAGACTTAAATCAATCTTTTACCATCATCATTTGTTTCCAAGAGAGAGTGAGCAATTTACTATCTGTGCTTCCTAACAGCTTCCAAAAATCATTTCAAGTGGGGGATTTGCTGGACTCAGAAGCAAATGATCACCTGCTCTAATGCCAGCAGTGCAAAGATCAGTGAATGTGCCTGAGGACAGGGGCTGGTGGAGCTGGGCCTGCCTGGGGGCTTGGAGGAGTCTGATACTCTCTGGTTTTCTCTGCAGATCTCTGCTCATCCTCACCTTTCCTGTCCGTCCCTGTGCCAGGGCTACCCCAGCTCCTGCCTGCTGTGCCCCCCTGCTCCAGCTCCCCGGGCAGATCTCACTGCTCATGTGTGACTGAAGGATTTGAGGGGGTTAAAAGAGTAAATCAGGGAGTAAATCAGAGAGCTGGGTTTGTGAGGAGGGGGAATTACTGTGGGCAATGTCTGTGCTGGGGCTCGGCGTGGGGCAGCAGAGATCACATCCTCACAACACTTCACATGTCTGAGTCACCTCAGACACGTTCTGGTGCTTTTACTCTGGCCAGAATATGGATTTCTTCTCTTTTTATAGGAAAGGGGAAGGGAAGGGGAAGGGAAAAGGGGAAGGGGAAGGGGAAGGGGAAGGGGAAGGGGAAGGGGAAGGGGAAGGGAAGGGGAAGGGGAAGGGGAAGGGGAAGGGAGGGGAGGGAAGGGGAGGGAAAGGGGGAGGGAAGGGGAAGGGAAGGGGAGGGGAAGGGAAGGGGAGGGGAAGGGAGGGGAGGGAAAGGGAAGGGAAGGGAAGGGAAGGGAGGGGAAGGGAAGGGAAGGGGAAGGGAAGGGAAGGGAAGGGAAGGGAAGGGAAGGGAAGGGAAGGGAAGGGAAGGGAAGGAAGGGAAGGGAAGGGAAGGGAAGGGAAGGGAAGGGAAGGAAGGGAAGGGAAGGGAAGGGGAAGGGAAGGGAAGGGAAGGGAAGGGAAGGGAAGGGAAGGGAAGGGAAGGAAGGGAAGGGAAGGAGGAAGGGAAGGGAAGGGAAGGGAGGGAGGGGGAGGGGAGGGGAGGGGAGGGAGGGGAGGGGAGGGAGGGGAGGGGAGGGGAGGGGAGGGGAGGGGAGGGGAGGGAGGGGAGGGGAGGGGAGGGGGGAGGGGAGGGGAGGGGAGGGAGGGGAGGGGAGGGGAGGGGAGGGGAGGAGAGGGAGAGGAGAGGAGAGGAGAGGAGAGGAGAGGGAGAGGAGAGGAGAGGAGAGGAGAGGAGAGGGAGAGGAGAGGAGAGGAGAGGAGAGGAGAGGAGAGGAGAGGAGAGGAGAGGAGAGGAGAGGAGAGGAGAGGAGAGGAGAGGAGAGGAGAGGAGAGGAGAGGAGAGGAGAGGAGAGGAGAGGAGAGGAGAGGAGAGGAGAGGAGAGGAGAGGAAAGGGTCTATCATTTGCTCTTTGCACATCTGGGGAGCTGGTTGTCCAACTGCCAAAAGCACAGATTTGTCAAACAAATTTGCTCCTTGGAGCCCTTTTTCAGAGCTTCCCTCTCATGGATTTGGGTGATGTCACTGATGCTCTCTTTATCTCCCTTGTCTGTTTTTTCACTCCTTGCATACCTGGAATCCAGGTGAAGGAAGGAGGGCATTTCACTGACCTGTTTGTTCAGAAACACGTAGATGATGGGGCTGTAGACAGTGCTGCTCTTGGCAAGGATGGCTCGGATGATGCTGGCTGCAGGGATGATGAGGCCAGGCTGCCCAAAGGTGGCCAGGAGTGCCACAGCTGCGTAGGGCAGCCAGCAGAGGAGGAAGCACAGCACCAACAGCAGCACCATCAGCAGCACCATCAGCAGCACCATCAGCAGCACCATCAGCAGGATGCGCTGCTCCCGGCCCCGGCCCGGCCCCTGGGCACTCTGCTCACCTGGGGACAGAGGCACAGGGAGGCATCAGCACTGCTGCCCCTGGGGACAGGGAGGGCTGCTCTGTTGGTGTGGTCATTTCATCAAAAGTGTCAAAGACCACCCTGGGTCAGGGGTGGCTCCATGTGGTGGAAAAGTCTCTCCTCCAACCTGTGCTTCCAAAGAAAGGCTCAGCAGTCTCTGTTGTTCGATCTCAAGGCAGTTTATTGCAAGTTATCTAAAAGATTTTCTTCTCTGGCTGCTGTGGTTTGCTCAGAGCTCAGGCAGAGGCACACACACACCCTGACATCCTCTCTGACTCCCGACTGCTTCTTCTCTCCCTGCCCAGGGCTGCTGCTGTCTTTTATATGGTACATTACGTGTTACATGTTTATAGTTTTTCCCCAATGCCTATTACCTATATTGAACAGTGCCTTTCTACTCTAAACCAATCTGTGAGTGCCAACATCACCAAGAACATGGAGGTAAGGAAGGAGAAAGGGGGAGGACAGGGCAGGCCCAAATCTCTCCATCTTAAAACATCTGACCCCCATGTACAAAACAGAAACCCCCCTGTACAGACTCAAAAATTCTTCCCTCTACTTTGTGACTACTTCTACTATAATATCTAAACTTTTGTGACTTCTTGTTCTTCCTGCAAGGTTGGTAAATCATTCCATGGTTCAAACCCAACATCACAGCTGTTTCCAGCTGCTTGCCAGGGTCTCAAATGCTTCTGACCTGGGCCTGGAACATCCAAAAATGTCTGAGGGACATTTTGAGTTCCCACAAAAAGAACAGGACTGCTGGGATGCATTCCTTGAGCTTTTTTAGCAGCATCAGCCTCATAACAGGGTTGAGACAATGGCAAGATGGCAAAGCTCAGGTACAGCCAGCAGCAGCCAAAGATTTCTCTGTTACACAGCATCTTAAAAACCTTTTAGCCAATTGCACTTTGCTAAAGCTTACAGGCAGTTGTTTTAGCCAATTAGTAAAAGAACACCTACACCTACTTTACACAAGGTTTGCTTGTCGTCTTTCTATTACCTATACACAATACTCCATTATTAAGCTTAAAACCTCATACTATCTTTCAAAGCACATTTTTCTGCAGTCTTATGGTCTATCTTAGCTAAGCATAAGACTCAAGCTTAGTGTCTTTATTATTATCACTGCATTAGTTTGATTCAACAATGAAACTCATTGTTTCATGTCCTTGCTTTCTATACTATTGTAAATTTTTCTACCTCCAGACTTTGTAGCTGCAGCTGATTCTAATTTTCTCTGCTCCTTCTGTTTCTAAGATTTGCTTTCCCAGCTTTCTGAAAATCTTCTTACCTTTACTGTTTCCCACACCTGGGAGATTCTGGGGTGGCTGCACTGAGGGCAGGGCTGGCAGTGCCACCTGAGCTGTTCTGGCTGGAGAGGAGCTGGGCAGGGCTGCTGTGGTGTGCACTGAGTGTGTCCCTGACAGCTGGGCCAGAGGTGCCAGTGGTGCCTTTTGGGGCTACCCAAAAACAGAGGCCAGACAGAATTAAGGGAATCAAAAGCAGTTTTATTTATTGAAGGGCCTTCAGGGCAGAAAAAGGCCCCCAGGGGCTACACCCAAAAATGGACCACGGCTCACAGGTTTTCACACTTCTATAAGTTTGGTCCATTTGCATTTTGGGGGTTCATCTTCCAATTACAGCTCCAGCTAATGAAGTCATTTACCCCCAGTTTGCTCCCCCAAACTCACTTTTGTTTCCATCTCTGGTCTGAGGCAGTGAGGTGTCCTTGACTGCCAGGCCTGGAGAGGAATTGCTGTGTCTGCCCAAAATGGGAAAGCAGCAGCTCACACTGTGTGTGGAGTTTAAAGACTAAAGAATTACAGGATTGCAAAAATATGAAAAATATACAAGCTAAAATCCTAAGGCATCAGCAGGACCAGCAAAAGTGCTCTGCATCTACAACAGCCTCCTCCAGCCTACTCCAAACCCAGATTTTAATGGGAGTATCCTGGGCAGGAGGCAAGGAGAGGGAATGTGCCCTGGTGTGACCAGAGGGCAGCAGCTGCCAGAGCTCCCAGAGCCACTGCCCCAGTCCTGCCAGGGGAGATCCAGGATGAAATGTGCCTGCACCCACAGGCACTGGGGCCAGGGATGAGAGGGGGCTGAGAGAATTTCCTGCCCTGAATCCATGGCCAAAGGCAGCACTCGAATTAAAGTGATTTACAGCAGCCTCCTGCTCTGGACTCCGGGCTCACACATACTCCAAAGTAAATCACACTGCAAATAAACACTGCTGGCCTGGGCCTCAGCCTGGCTTGCTGAGTGCTCTCAGGGTGTTTTGAAAAGCAGACCTTTCAGTGACTGCTGTGTGGTGCCTGGGCTGAGAAGTGCTGCAGTAAGCACAAGGAACTAATTATTACAAGCAGTTTTATGGGGAATCCGTGGGGATGTATTTGAGTGTTGGAAGTCACCTTGAGACTAATTAAAAAGCCTAACCAAAACTGTTCAAAAAATAGAACAAATCTGTAATTGCCTGCTGAGGGAACTCAAATACCAAGTACTTTATAAATATCTTGTTAATGTGCAAATGAAATCTTTTATGACACTTGTCTGTGATTTAAAAGGAAAAAAGTGGTATTTGCCACTAGGCAAATAAAGTTGTTAATCAAAATATTTCCATTAGTGAGAAGTGAATATTTCACTCAGAGCCACCCACAGGCATCAGTAGCTCAGATTTATTCACAGCCGTCTCAGACAGAAAGCTCACATTTATCTTCTTCCATTGTATCTCGTGGAGCTGATAAGAATTTTGTACAGCACATTCTCTGGGTGTGGATTGTTTGAGAGTCTGCCATGTATAAAACTTCACTCAGGCCGTGTGTGAATCCAGACAGCTGCACTGGGGTGGAGGCAAGGCTGCAGAGCAGAGAGGAGCTGCATTTCACGCCATGTGCACTTGGGTTTGGAGGCTCCTGACAAGAGGCACTGAAAGGCATCAGCACCAGCTGCCAGGGCTCTGTATCCCCACACAGATCCCAGTTCCTTTGTGCCTTCCTGAGGTCCTCCTGTCCACCCCCCATGCCAGGAAACACCTGGGGAGGCGGTGGGTGATGCTTGCATGTGGAGCACCTCAAGGAAAACCAAAAGCTCCATTTGGTTCTATTGATTTCCATCAATTCCAGACAAGGAAACCCAACAACCTCTTCCTTCAGATAAGGCCAGAGAGGACAAATGTTTTTCTGATGTTTTCTAGCTGGAAGTCAGGCTGGTGTGGGGCTGGCATGGGAGGAGGGCTCTGGAGGGGTTCCATACCCTGAGCAGGGCTGGGCTCCAGGCAGCTGTGCAGCGCTTGCTCTGCACATCTGCAAACCCTGCTGCACGGGAGGAGCAGCTGCTTCTGGCCACTGCTTCAACTCAGAGCCCGTGGGGGACTTCTGCTGCTGCAGGTTCCACCTGGGCAGTGCTCCCTGCTCAGGTGAACTCTCCTGACTTCTGAAGTGTTTTATCCTTTCCTAAAACAAAGAGAAAAACTTGCAGTTTTCACACTGCTGATGCCAGGGAATGGCTTCACAGGTAAGCAAGGAAAGGTTTCAATATCCTTGCCAGCAGCAGGAAATTATTATTTTCATCTTACAAGGCCAGAAATTTTGAATATCCTCCTACTTCTGTAACTCTTCTTGAAGCATTGTTTGCTTTTGACTACAAGGCTCCCCTGGTCAGTCAAGGAAACCTGAGATATTAGTACTTGGCACACTTGCAGAAAACTTCTGCAAAACTCAATCACACTCATCAGCCTTGAAATGTTGCTGCACCCATCAGCAGATGGTGACTTGGCTGTACCGTGTAACTGTGGGCTGTGCTTGTCATCAGATCACCCTCTGGAGGTGGGCAAAGCAAAGAGCTGTGTAAAAATGATGCTGGTGAATGGTGCTGTGGGCTTTAGTTTAATTTTGTCTTTATTATTATCACTGCATTAATTAAAGGGATGGGGCTATTTTGAGGCTAAGAACGATTTATTGCCCAGATAAATACCAGTCTCAGGGGCTGTGAGATTTCAGGGGAGCAAGCAGTTGGCCATAGCTCAAAGGGGTCACAAGTTCTCCGTTACAAGGCAATATACAACTTTATGATCCAATGGACAGTCGCCACAGGGTTTATTTTGCTTTTCTAACCTATCACTTTTACTTAATTTTACTGCACTGTGGGTATTTTTTATCCAATGGGCTCCTATCTCACATATACACAAATGCTTCTATTATAACACCTAAACTCTCAGCTCTCTGTCCAATTACACCCCTACATTATAAACTCTTCACCGTCTTATCAATGCAGTTTCTCACTATCTAAAGTCATATTCTTACTTACCACTATGGAAACATAAGTTTATGGTTTTTCTGCTTAATGTCTGTGTACTTTATTTTTACATCAATCCAAGCTTCTCCCAAGGCTGCAAAGCAAACCCTCTGGTGTCTGTGGAAGTTTCTGGTTTTCCATTTCCCACAGCTGATAGCTCCCAGGAGAGCTGAGAGCACAAGTGTGGCCCGTGGGGGCTGGACAGTCAGTCCAGGAGTTTAGCACAGGGGCACCCTGGCCATGCACTGACCTGCTTCTGGCTTGCTCCAAAAATGTAATCTTCAATCTGCTGTGCGAGACATTTGTTTTTAAAATCTCACTGTTTCTGTAGGTTTAAAATCTCACTGTTTCTGGAGGTTTTTGGTATAGAAAACCGCCATGAAAAGTGTGCTTTTATAACCCTCATATTTTCTTCACTGGAAATGGAGTCTCTGTTTTTCTTCTAAGATAATCTTTTCAGTTTCCTAAAATTTATTTTGCCTCTGCATCACACCTTCTATATGCTGAATGTGTGTGCCAGTGTACTGAGTTAGCAGGACTGGGGAGCTGGAAGCCCTGGCCCCATCTTGCTCTTACAATATTCATTTCTCTCGCTTCCCATGGCTGTTGATTTTTATACTGGCTAAGTTTCTTTGTGTTCTCTCCTGCAGAGAAGCACCTCAAGGTGGTGATTCAGCCTG